TACTGTGTTGATTCCCTTTATATATTTAAATGTTTCTATCATATCCCCCCTGTCTCGTCTTTCCTCCAAGCTATACATGTTAAGATCCTTTAACCTTTCCTGGTAAGTTTTATCCCGCAATCCATGAACCAGTTTAGTAGCCCTTCTCTGAACCCTCTCTAAGGTATCAATATCCTTCTGAAGATAAGGTCTCCAGTACTGTGTACAATACTCCAAGTGAGGTCTCACCAGTGTTCTGTACAATGGCATGAGCACTTCCCTCTTTCTACTGCTAATACCTCTCCCTATACAACCAAGCATTCTGCTAGCATTTCCTGCTGCTCTATTACATTGTCTGCCTACCTTTAAGTCATCAGAAATAATCACCCCTAAATCCCTTTCCTCATATGTTGAGGTTAGGACTCTATCAAATATTCTGTACTCTGCCCTTGGGTTTTTACGTCCAAGATGCATTATCTTGCACTTATCCACATTAAATGTCAGTTGCCACAATTCTGACCATTTTTCTAGTTTACCTAAATCATTTGTCATTTGGCTTATCCCTCCTGGAACATCAACCCTGTTACATATCTTAGTATCATCAGCAAAAAGACATACCTTACCATCAAGACCTTCTGCAATATCACTAATAAAAATATTAAAGAGAATGGGTCCAAGTACAGATCCCTGAGGTACCCCACTGGTGACAAGTCCAAGCTTCGAATATATTCCATTAACTACAACCCTCTGTTGCCTGTTACTCAGCCACTGCCTGAGTTAATGAGTTTGCCAAGAGAGGCAGTGTAAAGAGAGAACAAAAGGGACCAAAAACAGATCCTTGGGGGCTCCAACTGAAACAGGACGAGGGGAGGAGGTGTCATTGGAAAAAGAGACAGTGAACAATTGTTAGAAGAGATAGGAGGAGAACCACGAGAGGACAGTGTCAGAGAGACCAAGGAATTGAAGAGTTTGGCAAAGGAGGACATGATTAAACCTTTAAACCTTTATGTGCTGAAGGGGGTACACAAGGGAGGGGAGGGAACCAGAGGCCACTATAGCATGAAGAATACAGATTTGTATTCCAAACACTATAGAAACCCTTTAAATGTAAAAATATTTTGAACACTTTATTATTCAGAGGTGCTTTAAAATATAGTTTTTAAAGTTCCTTTGAATAATAAAGTGCTCAAACATTATTATTATGTTATTATTTATATAGCGCCATCAAATTCCGCAGCGCTTTACAATGGGTGGACAACAGATATGTGGGGTAAAGTGACACAAAAGGTAAGGATAGTATTAGACTAGTGACAGTCCAAGAGAGGAATCAGTTAGGAGCTATTAACAGTTTAATTGATACGCTTTTATGAAGAAGTGGGTTTTTAATGATTTTTTTGAAGGCGTGGAGACTGGATGAGCATCTAGCATATCAATAATGGTTTTAGATTTTAAAGGAAGACTCTAGACACCTAAAACACTTTCACTTTTTTATGAAGAAGAAGTGGGTTTTTAATGATTTTTTTGAAGGCGTGGAGACTGGATGAGCATCTAGCATATCAATAATGGTTTTAGGTTTTAAAGGAAGACTCTAGACACCTAAAACACTTTCACTTCCTGAAGTGCTTTACATGTGAAAAGCAGGTCGTCTTTTTTCATTTTACAAAAAGTACTAAGCAATAGAAATTGGCACATTTACAAATTAACATTGTTACATTCTCCTCCCTCTCTCCCTGCTGTCTACTAAACAGCAGGTCCTGTTATTCATGGTTGTTTAGCTTAGTGAAGCTAAAATCTAGAGGCGCGCAATTGACCAGCGCACCAAGAATTTTCATTAAGCTGTATTGGGAAAGCTGTCTATAGATATACCCCAAATTAATAAATATGCATACTTAAATTGGGGGAGTGGGGTTATATATAATACACAGTTTTTTTTCTATTTAATATATATTTATTAGTATTATTACACATATACATTAGATAGCATACATTATCATTGTAATACTGTTTACATCATTCCATTATGCAATATATAGCTGCCTATAAACAAATACAATCACACACTTTTCCCTCTTCTCCCATCCTTCCCCTCTGCTCCTACTCCACCCCATACATTACTTTTCTTATCAGTCTTGGGTCTATTTGCCTACTTTGTTGTTGTTGTTTTTTGCCTTTTATATTCCATAAATTTAATTTAGAACTATTTTTGCAATTTTTCAATGATTAGTCTTTCCTCTCTGGATTTTGTTCTGTTATCATTTTGGGGGGCTCAATAATATGTTACAAATCCTGAGCAGATTGTAAACTCTCTTTTTTCTTTTTGCCAAGCTTTGCATCTTTCATTATGTTCCCTACTTCTCTCTTTATTCAGAAATATTATCTGTTCCATAAAACATATTTCACCAACTGTACTTATCCATTATTTCAGTGGGGGAGTTTGTGGTTGCCTCTAGTATTTAGGAATTAGTATTTTGGCAGAATGTATTGGTCTGATTGTTAGTGAACTCACATAAGACCTTGTTGATTGGTTTGTATTGTGAATTAAGATCAAACAAGGATTTATATTAAACTCCCTATAATCTATAAATTTTATAATACTTATAATTTTTCCCAAAAAGGTCTTATAAGGGTGCATGACCACCAAATATGTACATATGTACCCTTCTCTTCTAAACACAGCCAACATTTATCTGAATTGTGTTTTTAAATTTTGTGTAGAAAATATGGAACCCTATACCATCTAATCAAGATCTTATATGAGTCTAATAAACAGTTAAAAAAAATAATAATTTTATATATATATATATATATATATATATATATATATAAAATATATATTTTATATATGTGTGTGTGTGTGACAGGCTTATGCAATGTGTGTGTAACGGATCTCCTGGCACCTTGACTGGGTACCTCCGTTGATGGATGCTTCTAGTGCTTCCTGAGGGCTCCAAGCACTCCACTTGACACCGTAAGCACTGCAGACCCCACAAACCGCCGCCATCTCCTACCCACCCTGGACCTACGACAAGGCTCCAGGTTCCAGTTGGTGAACCTCTCTTTCTCCAGAGAGCTAAGCAGGAACAAGCTCTTACAAGAGCTTAGTGATTATTCAAGGGAGTATGCAGAGCATACTTGTAGCAGATTACACCAATAAGAGACAGGACTCTAAATTGAGGGTGAAGTAGAACTGGTTTAATGAGCACAAAGGCATTTTTCTTATATACAGTTTTCCCCACAAGGTTACCACCCACATGGACCTTGTGGAGCACAGGACACAAAGTCACAGCAGCCAATCAACACAGTATTGTACAGTTAGACACTCCCAGCTAATGTACACAAACCCTCCCCTTTGCCTGTGATACAATTAACAAACACAATGGACTAACTCAATTACCACAGGCAGAAAATATCCAGTTTTACCCAAAGTCCAGAAACACCCCAAAACAACAACATAGCCTACATCCTTGGATAGCCCTGATCTGGGTGAACAACATATCCAAAAATCACCCAGATCAGAGCAGGGGTTAAAACGTTTTATGGAAGTCACATTTGACCGACCGCAAGCATGGCTTTCATGCCCAAAATAGTTCCACAGATTTAGGCTGTGCGAACGGTCTATCTTCTCCTCTCTCCTGGAGATAATTGGCTTAAGCCAATTATCTCCAGGTACAGGAAATATCTCTAAGTCCAAAAACTGTTACAAAAACCACATAAAAATACATAACTCATATAATACAATGTTTAACCTATATGTCCAACATATCCCCAGATAGCTTGGATCTGAGCGCTCAATACGTCCGAACAGTGCTCAGAACTCACGAATATAGTTGGATCGCTATGTGGTTAAATAGAATAGAAAGGTGAACAGCGCTAACCATATATAAAAATATATATATTACATATGTGGTAGATGGTACTTGTCAATGATATGGCTTAAAAAAGAACAAAATAAAATAATAGTGCAATATATAATAACAGTGGAGTAAATATAGAAGGAATATATGATCCAAACTCACACTTTAAAGAGCTATATAAGCTCAATTGGAAGGGCCTGGACGGAATAATCCCCGTCTGTGGATTTCTTGATATGAGATCTTCCTGGTAGGCTTATAGAGATGGACTTTCACAATATATAAGACAGGAAAGAAAAGGATGTGGTTAAAGTTGTCTCTTTTAAACGACCGCAAGCATGGCTTTCATTCCCAAAGTAGGTCCACAGATTTTGGCTCTGCGGCCTGTCTATTTTCAATGTTAAAAGTGCACTATAGTAGGGTGAGGTCAGAAAATAGCAAGGGCTGATGAGAGATTGAGGAGGGACAAAGCAGCAAGTTTAAACTGGTCTGGCAGTGTCCTTGGGACAACGCCCTGCTGGAGAAACAATAGGACAGGAAAAAGAGGGAGGGGAAGAGGCACATTTTCCCATGGATTTAAAAGGGCAGAAAAAGTGTTTTAAAATCCAATAAACCCAAATAGACTTTTTAAATGGCAATACACCCCAGGGGCCATAGTCGCAGGGCAGGAGGCTGGCAAGCAGGCCCCTCCAAAAACTCATGGCAAACTCCCTTCAAAAGGGGAGTTCGTCACAGTATGATCATACACTGTAACTAAACCCCCATTATTTTTGCCTAGATTAGGTGTTTGTTTTTTTAAAAAAAATTGTGAAATCTGTGAGCTTTGAAGCTGCTGTTTAGTGGATGAGTGAGTGCACTGGAACTTGTATATTGTATGAATTGGCCCCAGCAGCACCCCATTTATGCATGTTAAGGTGAGGGCAGCCCCCTGGTTATATATAAATATATATATATATTTATATTACACAAGATCCAGCGCACTCACTCATCCACTAAACAGTAACTTTAAAGCATACACTTTTTTTTTTTTTTTTAAACACGTAAACTAGGCAAAAAATAATGGTGGTTTAGTTACAGTATATGATCATACAATGCATTTGCCCGCCAATACGTCAAAGTACCCCAACTTTGGCAGGTCCTACTCTAACAGCCTAATATGTCTGCTCTTATGAGATTAACCCACTAACTTGGGGGGAAAAAATAATCTGAGGCTCTCTGCAGTACAAGGCTAAATAGGGCCCTGGAGTGCAGCCCCTTGTTTTATATATATATATATATATATATATATATATATATATATACACATATATATACACATATAGTTAATACATTGCTAAACACAAATACACACACCAGTCAAGCCATCAGACTTGCCTTTCCCACTGAAATTTCACTTTAACAGTGCTCTCACTACTGCAAGGGATTCTGGGTAGGGGTATGCAATGAGCTCAACAAAGAACCACATTATATATATATATATATATATATATATATATATATATATATATATATATATTATTTTTTTTAATTTTTTTTTTTTATTAGAATTTGTTTGTTTTTATAGTTATTTATTTATTTAGTTTCCTATTGAAATTTTTTTATTTAAGCATTACATTTGAAAGGAAAACACTTTTGTGTGTATTGCTTGAAAATTAAATTAAAAAGAGTTTTTAACATATTTTACTTTTAATTTTTGTATATGTTATATCACACTATTCCTAATTTGGTTTTGCTTCATCTCACAATATAATAACAATTAACTTTTCATGCTTAATATTGTGAATCATATTACATTATTCAAATTGTAGCATATCATAGTTTCCCGAGAAAAGGAATCTATAGTATAATTACCAGCATTATTCTTAATTGTGCTTAATTATCTATGATGATCTAATGTTACTAAGGAGTACTATCAAAACATGTTTGGTATTTTAGTTCCATGTTCTCCTCACTGCCCTACTGTATTGACTATGTAGTATTTTAAATAAAATAATAAAATAATATACAGTATGATGGTTATACAAAGTGTAAGTCATCTTCAAGCCTTAATTCCAAAGACCAGCATTAACCAGTTCATACTCTTTCTTTGTTCCTCCACAACCTTTTGTTTATCATTTTCCGATAGCAGTTTTCTTTTTTTTACAAAAGTATCTTCATTGTTATTTTGAAACTCTCAGTAAGAACCTTTAGTAGCAAGTAAGTAGGCAGTTTACCAGCTAGAGTGTCCATCATCAGAATACAGTTCATGTTCATGGTAGACCAACAGAACTATTTGCTGATTCTCAAAATATTTTTTCCTGTTTCATAAACATGTATATAATTAGCATTAAACAAGAAATAAACTGTATAAAATAAGAAACTAGAACGTGTCGTACATACTTAGTAATTATCTTTGACTAATTCTGGTTTAGAAGGTATTATTATTAGTGATGTCCCGAACTGTTCGCCAAAGGTTCACGAACAGTTCGCCACGGACTCATCATTGAGTAAACTTTGACCCTGTACCTCACAGTCAGCAGACACATTCCAGCCAATCAGCAGCAGACCCTCCCTCCCAGACCCTCCCACCTCCTGGACAGCATCCATTGTGAAGCTGCATTCTTAGTAAGCTGTCCAGGAGGTGGGAGGATCTGGGAGGGAGGGTCTGCTGCTGATTGGCTGGAATGTGTTTGCTGACTGTGAGGTACAGGGTCAAAGTTTACTCAATGATGAGTCCGCGGCAAACCGTTCGTGGCAAACCGTTCGCGAACCGTTCGGTGAACAGTTCGGGACATCACTAATTATCATGTATTTTAAAACAGTATAATGAATACCTATTTTATTGTCCTATACGTGTTCTCTCGTGCATCAAAATATCTGTGTTTGTTTATCAGCCTTTAATAATTAAAATTAATAATTAATAATTTGGAGAAAGAGTGTACTGTGGGCAGACTAATAATGTAGTGTTATGCAAGTACTAAGTATATCATCACCTATATGAAACAGAATAATCTAATAAACTATTTAATATGTGTTCATAAAAAGTGGCATCCATAAAAAAATATATAAAACATTTCTAAAAGAATAAATCTTAAACATAAAAGCTTGCATTGTATTAAACATCATTTCAGCAAAAATGAAAACAGGTTAAAAAAAAAATTAAAAAAAATAAAAACTATTATATGCTAATCTATATCACAAAAAAGTAAAGTAGACATTGCACTAAGAAATATATTACAACAATAGTGACATAATTATACATACACATTTAATTAAAAATAACGCTAACACTAATACTAAATGGTCATATGGTATAACTCAAGCCTGATCTTTTTTTTTAGATCTTGAGCAAAAGATGAGCAGTACTGAAACACACAGAAAACTCCCATGTGCTTTTACAGTAGAAAAGTGAGCAAATATTATGTGTAATCTAGATTCATTATTCTTCTACTATGAGCACACCACTGAACACCAGCAGGGAAGCAGAACTGTCACAATCACACATATTATGCATGACATACAGAATGAGCTCAGTGCCCATTATAACATCCACATTTCTCATGTAAACATAACTCCCAAGTGCGCTTGTTTAGGAGGCAGAGTAACTAAATAGGGCCCAAGTCTATCTGTCCCTCTTTTCTATCTTTATCATTCTCTTTTCTAGGAGCTTGATGTTGTTGGTATATGTGAGTGTATGACATAGCTCCACAGCAATAAGACTCTTAATAATGTGTATAACTGCAATACATGTGTTTAGAAATCAGTCTGTGTAAATAACATACATTGTTCTTGTTCTATATTATATTTTAGTTGCATACATTTTTATTTGTAAGTCACCTAAAATTTCTCACAATAGCCCTAACCATGACCACACCCCTAAAACGAAAGTGTCCCTCTTTGTCCATTTGAAATGTTGGGTGGTATGCGTAAAAGAGTCCTTCTTACATTTTTAAGAAAACAATAAACAAATTATTAGAAACTCCAAAGGAATGTAGGTAATTTCAGAGATACGCTTCTGCCCATTTTATTCAACACATAACAACAGGAGCTATCTCATTCTCACACGATAATAGGTATCTCATTTCCCAAAATGTTTGCATATTTATTTAGCATGCACTTGAAGAAATGCAATAGCTAAAGAAATACACATGTTAAATAAAAATGAAAAATAATGCATATTATAATAATGTTATTCACATCATGTTTAAGCAATGTTTCTCCCATTTCAGTGGTTTAGCACATTTGCATCAAGACAGGGAATTAAAGCTTTTGGAACAAAATAATTAGATCACAACATTGTTTACTATATGAACCAATGGAAGACTGTAAAGTGACCACTGTAGTTGATCTTTTCATATCTAAACAGAATAAGAGGTGGGAAAAAGAAAAATAGAATAGACAAAAATAACAACTCTCTTTTGACGAGCAAGTCAAAACGCCAGATCTACCTGTGGGGGTACAGACCACTTAAGAGCTCCCTCATGCCTCTGGCACTTCTCAATGACTCATAGCACAGCAGACAGCACTCTAGTCACAAAGTTACACTCCTCCCCCGTACTCACATAGAGCAACTAGGCAACACACACACACACCACCCAACCACTACACACAACACTCAACCACCACACACAACCCTACAGTCACCCTTCTACTAACAACAAAACATTAAAAATATATATTTTTTAAAATTCTTTTTAGCTCTCTTAAGAAAGCAACCTTTTATTTGTAAGATGTGCTACTTTATGTACAATCCTTCAATGTGAGTCTCCAGATTTTTAAAATCTTACATAACATCTAACACATTTTACTTATAGTTTTAGTCTACAGTCTCAGTCTACCCAATGTTATTACTGTCTAGTTTATGTCAGTATAAGTACATTCAAAAATATTGCCAAGCTTCTAAATATATTACAGTTTGAGCCTTTTCAAGGAGCATTACTGTGATGCATATCGAAATACACAATAAAGTCTTTTTTTTCACCTTTTCCTCTTTAATGGTAGCAAAGGTTAAAGAAAGATTTAATTTTGTATTTATAGTGATATATATGCAGCATATCTTTTTGAAGCTTGAGTATGTAGCATGCAGACTGCTCTGTTGCTAACAGTCACTTCCCACAAATGACAATGAACTTGATTTACTAAGCGGCATAAATCTGTTATATTTACTATCACGGCTAACTAGCTAACTTCTGGAACTGGGCTAAACTAGCTGCATTGTTCCCTAAGAAAGTGAATTATAGCTACAAAACAGTGACATTTTATCACTGTTTGCAGTAATGAACAGTCACAAAATTTTTAAAAGGTGTACTAAGGCCTCAATTTAAATTTGTTGCATAATCTTTCCAAATGATTTAATATTGTTTGATAAACCTTTAAAATGTTTCATTATTTGGTTATTTTAATATTTTGCTAATTTATTTTTTCAAATATTTGTATATATATATATTTAGATGATAACTTTGCATGTTACTTCACTGACAAAATTGAACAGCTAAGGAAAGAATTCTCCCCTCCTTGCCTTTCTGTTTCTCAATCACACATTGATCATGCCTTTCCTACCCTTCAGACATTCTCCCCAGCCACTGACCAAGAGGTGGCTGCTCTTCTTTGCTCCTCTCGCCCCACCACTTGCCCGCTCGATCCTGTCCCGTCTCACCTTATCAGATCTCTCTCCGCTTGTCTCGTGCCTTCTCTAACACACATCTTCAACTGCTCGCTCTCTTCTGGCATCGTCCCTGCTGACCTTAAACATGCCACTGTAGTACCTATACTAAAAAAACCATCCCTTGACCCATCCACCCCCTCTAACTACCGTCCCATATCTCTGCTCCCTTTTTCCTCAAAGCTTCTGGAAAGACTCGTCTTTACCCGTGTGTCTCATTTCCTCAATTCCAACTCTCTCCTTGACCCCCTTCAATCTGGCTTCCGCCCTCTCCACTCTACAGAGACTGCCCTTATCAAAGTTACTAACGACCTAATCGCAGCTAAATCCAAAGGCCACTACTCCATACTAATTCTTCTTGACCTCTCGGCGGCCTTTGACACCGTTGATCATGCTCTCCTTCTTCAAACTCTGCAATCGCTTGGTCTCTGTGACTCTGTCCTCTCGTGGTTTTCCTCTTATCTCTCCCAACGCTCATTCAGTGTCTCTTTTTCTAATGATACCTCCTCCCCTCGCCCTGTCTCGGTTGGAGTCCCCCAAGGCTCCGTCCTTGGTCCCCTTCTATTTTCTCTTTATACTGCCTCTCTTGGCAAACTTATTACCTCATTTGGTTTCCACTACCACCTGTACGCTGATGACACCCAGCTATATCTCTCCTCCCCGGACCTCTCCCCTGCTGTCCTGCAAC